CACTGTGCGAATGATGACAATGCGGAAACATATAGAGCGCTACTGTTTATATTTTATATTGCCAAAGTCGAACGCCGTGTTATCGATAATTTGCTGAAATATTTTATAAATTGTAAAATATACATTAACGCAGAATCTTAAGTTAATGAAGTATTTTAATTTATTGATTAAAATTGATTATTTATTAAACAATTTATCACGGAGCCTTTCGTTATGCTAATTATTTGTATCTATAATTCGATTGTTTTACTTCGCGTTCTCTCACATCTTAAATTATATTTAGATTATCAAGTAAAACGATAAATTAACACGGACGAAATATATTTGTGATTCTAAATATTAAAATAATAATTATTGTCCGTAAAAATCGCAATTATCAAAATGATTATTTTATATTTCAGATCCCTATAATTTAATCAATTTTCGATTAAATTGTGTATTTAATTAACAAAGATTGAGAAAATTTAAAGCATTGGTCGAAATATATTTAATTCTAATATTATATTCTAATATTATAAAGAAATATTGTAATAAGTTTCGATGATCGAAATATCGCAACATAATCTCTTATCCTCTTTTATGTATAACCTGTTTCAATTTTCAATCGTAAAGATCTATCGTTGCGATACAGTTTCATGTCGTTAATTAATTTTTATTAATATTCATAGCAAATTATGTTTCGAAATTAATCGTAATCGTGTTTTGTAAAAAAATTACAATATACGAAGCGTTTCTCACCACTACTTTACTCGAGAGTCACCGTGCGAATAATGACAAAGCTGTAATATAGCGCGCTACTGTTTATATTTTACATTGCCAAAATCGAACATCGTGTTATCGATAATTCGTTACCAAAATATTTTATATATTATAAAATATATTGTACATTATCGTGAAATATTAAATTATAGAAGCATTCTAAGTTATGGATTAAAATTGATTATTTATTAAACAATTTGTCACGGGGCCTTTCGTTATGCTAATTATTTGCATATATTATTCGATTGTTTTACTTCATGTTACTTCATTTTACTCCGTATGTTTCAAACTTCCTTTCTTCTCTTACGTATCTTTCGTTATTTCTTTTTGTGGCATTCACTCACTCACGAAAACACGATTTAATTATAATTAATCAAATACGTGGTGCACTTTGCATGAAACTCTCAATAATCATATAAAATAATCATACTTATATACGCACTTAAATGATGAAAGAGCAACATGAGATTTACCTTTACACGAGATTAAAATTTCATTCGCTACTTGCTACAGCAATGCGTATGCTACTGATATGCATATTATATGCTGTATAATATACGAATTATAAGAATGAAAATATTAAAATAATAAATAAAGTTGTGATAGCATTTAATTAATAATTAATTTATGTTCACATTTTAGAAAAATTGGAAGTTTAGTTGTTTGATTGTAACGCAAAATATTAAATTTGTAGAAGTTTTTATATTTATAGATTAATTAAATGATTATTTATTATTTAAACAATTAATTAGTATACGAAACGTTTCGTATCATTATTTATTGCTTGAATATCACCGAGCAAATGATAGCAAAACTGTAATATATAAACAACGCACTACTCTTGCCAAAGTCATGATTTTATTGATAATTCGTTGTCGAAATATTTTATGTTCTATAAAATACACACGCATAGAATATTGAATTATAGAAGTGTTTTAATTGATTGATTAAAATTGATTATTTATTAAACAATTTATTCATTAGGGAATCTTTTATGCATAAAATATTTAAATATATTATTGTGAAGCAGTTTATGAAATATTACTATCTATGTAAAAGTGTTAAATAATATAAGAATATTTTATTATAGATATTTTAAGTATATTAAAATAAGATAATCCAGAATATTTTAGATATATGTTATACTAATATAATTTAAAAACTTAAATAATTTAGATAATTTACAATGAGAGAGAGAGAGAGAGAGAGAGAGAGAGAGAGAGAGAGGAGGAGAGAGAGAGGGAGGGAGAGGGAAAGAGAGAGAATCGTTATTGAGAAAACATGCAATATATAATATGATCTGAATATAAATGACATATATATATATATATATATATATATATATATATATATATATATATAATCTGAATATAAATGATAAAATGATAAATAATTTATAAACTATTTACCGGATAATCTTGCTTAGTACGTGGCCCAGTGCTTTTTAGACTTGCTTTTCCTTTCCTTCGATATTTTTTCGTTGCACTCACTTTCACTCCTGAAAACAAGATTAATTAAGATTAGTTAATTAATATTAGTATACGCAAAAATCGCGAGACATTTTGCACGGCATTCCCGATCGCGTAGTAATTACAATTAAAAGTTTAGCAAGTACTAATTATAATTATCATAGCGAATTATGTTTTAATACTAGTTATAATTGTGTTTTATCGTTAGAGAAAAAATTTAATAATATACGAAGTATTTCGCACCTTACTCTTCGAATGTTGCCGTGTGAATGATATCAAGACCGTACATGTAAACACAGCGCGTCATACGCCGCCAAGGCTGATCGTGTTATTATCCATTCACTGCTGATATATTTTACGTACTTTAACATATACACGAAATGTTAAAGTGTCTAAAAGTTTTAGATTACATGGATTAATTAAATAATATTTGTTAATTTCATGTATCGCAAAGCTTTTTATTATGTTAATTATTTCGATTTATGATTCGATTGGTTTGTTGTGCGTTTTGATTCTAAATTAAATAATTAAATTTTAAATAATTGAAAAATAAAACGAGATAAAGCGTCGCGGGAATTATATTTTATTCTATAAATATCATTAAAATAATAATTGTTCATAAACAATGCGGACCATAAATGTTTATCAAAATATCTTCGTGTATCATCATTTGTGTGATAATAATTATGTCGCGCGCGTATCTATTGAGTTTTGATTATCATATTATAAAAATTATATGTATATTTCTCGTAATCGAATATTCCTATTATTATCGATTTATTTATTTGCGTTTTCTCGCGAATTTTAAATCGCGATTTATTTTGTAATTTAATTGTTGATTTACATTGAAGCTTATTTTATTTTTTCGTATTTTGAATATTTCCTTTGATAATCTACACAAAATGCGCTAATAATGCAAATATTTTCTTCTACAATCAAAGAAATGATCAATAATTTTATTAATGATTCTTTTAATCACGATTATATATATTTACGTTACATAAAACTTATTAAATTCTATTATCGCATATCGATTATCAATGATAAATGTTGCATAATTAATCATCGCTAATCAGGCTTGTCTGGACTATAATATAAAAATATTTAGTAAATTTTATATTATATGTATATTTTAGAGACATTTTCGTGTATTAAATTATTCCATGTAATAAATAAAAATTATTTTGTATTAAATTTCAAATTATATTTTACATTCACTTTTGTATTAAACCTGTATTGAAAGAAAATAAAAATAAAATTAAAAAAAAATTTTTTCCTCGTATCTCCACCTTACAGAGGCATTTGCCGGATGAGGTTTGAGTACTCTAATGAACCTAAGAGTTATGCCGGCAGTAACGTATAATACGCCGATATTCATATATGTAGACTATTTTTATATTTAAAATAATCTTAAGTATACTCTTAGATCGCGTCTTGAGATTCCGATCAGTTAGTAAAATAGTTGTATTTTCCAACTTACTTAAAACGATCTTAAATATAAGAATGAATTATGAATGCCGGTCTTAGGGTTACCTATGCCGGACAAGTCAAAGGGAAAGAGTCAGACTAAGAAAGATATCAAAATTATATATATGTTATTTTTAATTATATTAATATTTTTGAATAAAATAAAAGAAAAAGAGACAGTAATTGAGAAAATAGAAAAAAGACAACTACAGTGATTTGAATATCTCAAATCTTTTCTCCTCCTCTTTCTCTCTTTCTCTCTCTCTGAGTGATTTGAATATCTATACTCGAGAGAACAAATGTCCATAGAAAATATTTCGATGGACTCCATAGAAAGGAATAAGCATGACAAATGATGATAATCCCTATGATTTTAACACCAAGGAATATACAATAAATCATAATAATCCAAGAACTCGAAGAAGAAAATAATAGATAATAGAAATAGATAATAGAAATGCATAATGATTGGAAATGATTAGAAATTAAAAGACAGTATGAATACAACCTATTTATTAACAGTAATACTATTTTTGTAATTATATTAAATTTTATAATTTAGTACATTGTATTATATAAAATATTAAGCATAAAAATATTATGCTGGCAAGAAAATTATAATAAAAGTATAAATAATGTTGACTATATTAGAATGGAACATATGAATTCTTTATATTTTATATAAAGGAAGAGATATTTAAAATATTTTGCAACTATATTTTTCGAATCTTAATTATAAAAACTTTAGAACAATCAGTGATTAATTTGACAAATTCTATACATGTATTAATAATTAAATAAGTAATAAATAAATAAGTAAATAATTAATAATATAATAACTTTTTTAAATAATTAAAAAAGTGATTAATAAATATCAAAGATCAGTTTATTGCTAATTAAGATTTATAGAAATAACGGTTAAAAATGTTTTTATTCCACAGCAGGCATTTCGTGTTTTGTAAATAAAAATATATAAACATGGCAATGAATATAGAAAAATATTTATCTTTGAACATTACATTAGAAGATTACAGTATCTTTCACGATTGCATAATTTATTTACTATCAATTTATATACATGAGTGTCTTGTTATACTCTGGTGTTACCGACATTTCGTGCACATAGCACGGAACGAAACCAGAAATTGTGCACATGATACCCTCTGAGAACATTCATGGACATTGGCTTTGTAGTTCATGTCCACGTTTTCAATGTCCATAGAGGGAATATCGCTTTCAGGGATCACCTAAAAGCAGGCCATGACATCTCTCAGTTTTCTCTCTGGTAAAAGAATTAATTTTATTGAATTAATTTTATACTAATTGTCTAATCGATAAATTGTTATATTGATCGCTGACAATGGTGCGAAAATTAAAGTATCACGAGCAAAAATTGCTAAAGAAGGTAGATTTTTTATCCTGGCCAGCCGATAATAATCTTCACGAGGTTAAGATCTTGAAGAGATATTGTATTCAGAAAAGATCTGATTATACGGTGTAAGAGTGAGAGGGTTATCTTATATTTTATAGTATAATAAAATATATATTGTAATTAAATAGCTTAACTATAATTGTAGATACAACAAATTATCACGCGAGATACGGGAATTGGGTAAAAAGATTAAAGAAATCGAACCTGACCATCCTTTTCGCATAGAACAGAGTGCTTTGTTATTGGAAAAATTATATATGTTGGGCTTGATCTCTACCAAATGGGACTTGTCTCAAACTCAGAAAGTAACTGCTAGTTGCTTTTGTAGACGAAGACTTCCAGTTGTTATGGTACGCAATAAAATGAGTCAAACAATATCAATGGCGACAAAGTTGATAGAACAGGGTCATGTCAGAGTTGGAGTCGAAGTTATAAAGGATCCTGCATTTCTAGTAACAAGGTAACATTATTGTACTTTTTTATCTTTCTCTCTCCCTCTTGTATCATACATTTTGTATCGTGTATAAATAAAATGATTATATATATTTGATAGGAATTTGGAAGACTTTGTTACATGGGTAGATACTTCTGCTATTAGGAAACATGTACTAGAATATAACAATCAGGTGAGCATTTTTAGCTTCTCATGTTATATATGTTACCTGTTAAATTATGTGTATTACATTTATGTATATTTGTCTTGCAGAGAGATGATTTTGACATGGCATAAATCTACATATTGGTCAGATATATACTTGTGAAACTACATTTTTTATAAACAATACAGAATATTGTGTACTATTTATTGTAGATATTTTAATGTTTATAATTAAATTCTTCCAACAAAGAATATAATAATATCTTAAGTTAAAGTTATAATTTCTTAAGTTATTGTACAGAATTCTCTTTTTTTTAAATTATACTTAAACATAGAAACAAATCATTGGGGTATTACTTTTAGTACAAGATTTAATAGCACTATCTTTATTATTAAATGAGTTTTTTCACCACTTTTATGCAGATGCAGATAATTGTATAATCATATGTTTGAGATTATATTACATTAGTGATTTTATTTATTAGCCTAAGTTTTGAACATATGTTGTACACACATTTCTACATTTCATTCCCTGGTGGGATTTCTATATAGAATAATAACCACGCGGATTTATTGTAATGAGATAAAGTTTATTGTTTAAAATCGAATTAGAATCGCCACTTTTCAACTTGTACGTAATCGTTTGAGTACGCAAAGAACGCATATTTATATAATTGCGAAGAATCTTTTACTTTGGATCTAGTACAAATGTAAGATCCGACTTCCTCGCTTGTAACATATAATAGATCTAGGCAAATATGAGAAAGAGAATGAAGATAAAGCCACGCATTGGATATGATACAAAAAAGTACAGAAATGTTATATATGATACAAAAAAGTACAGAAATGTTATATATAATTTATATAAAATTAGCTGATAAAGATTCGATGAATTAATAAGAGATAGGATTTATATAAATATTAAAAACAATCGTCACAGAGAATTGAAAAACGCAGTAACAAAGAAAAAATGATGATACAGCATAATGAATTATACCACGTGCATTCCGAGCAGCCACTCATTCATATACTTATAATGATATAATTAGTATTTATTATGATATTATGATACAAATGTTACATGTTAATATCTTTATAGTATCGGCAGTCTCTGTGCTGGTCTCTGTGACATCGCCGCCGCGTTAAATAATCTTCATTACGTTCTACAGAGTACACAGAGTATCCACTTCTCTAGGACGTAATTAGCAGATCAAACGGGGGCGTGTGTCGGCTCAGGTCCCTAAGTATCTCCTTCTCCTTCTCCTCCTCCACCATCGTCAACTATTTACATAAATGCCTTGCGAAATCTCTCCGTAACACGCTGCATTTATTAAAGAACGAAAAAATCATTTACAATTATTGTTTCTTTTTCTCTCTTTGTTTCTGATTATATAAATATATATATATATATATATATATATATATATATATATATATGTATATATATATATACACATATATATATACACGTATGCATGTATATATGTATATTTTTTCGCAGCATATATTCGCCGCACACACACCTCGTGAAATGTTTACCAATTTGTCCAAAATGAAATATGAATTATGATCACGCATTTCTGTTAGAAGTGATCCGCAATAAACGTGACGTTTACGTGATATTTCAAATAGCCCGTAGTGAAATATCATACAAAAGAAAGAAGCAAAGATGAAGTGAAGAGAAATGTGGAAAGAAACTAGAAATATAATACATTTGCGCGACTGTTAATAATTATATAAGATAAACCGAGACATTCACTAAACTCTCACGAGGGATACAGTAATAACTGTGTATCTCTCGTACTTATCAAAGTGTTTCATATTACTATCTATTGTTCATTTCTTCTTACGTGGATATATTGTTATTACATTTAGAATTTCGCACAAACTTTTTCTCTGACTATATCCGCGATTTTGCTCGCTTCTCAGAAGAAATTTATACTTTTCTTACTGTTCTTTATACACAAGTTCGTAAACGTATTCTATTCTATCGATTAATCTTAACGAGATACTCAGTGAATTATGTTGTCCGCGTACACGATTCTGAAAAATGAATATGTAAACGTAATAACAAACAATTTTCATGATAATTGTTTCATTTTATATAAAGAGATACTCTACTTATATACTTGGATACTATACAAGACGCTGAGTATCGCGCTAAATAATTTGCAACCTATATCGCTATATCTGGACTCACCCAAATTCTGAGAAATTGTGACAAACATTCTTCTGGCTATTTCTCAGGTTTTGGAGAATTCACCGATTTAAATATCCATGCTTCTTTCGACATTCGAATGTCAGAATCAAGCTGTATATAAGTTCAGAAGAAGCTAAAGTAATAAAGTATGTATTTTTAGAAAGATTGCACGATGCGCGATTATGGTAAAGAGAGAACAGAAAAAATTTGGAAAAAAAATATACGCATAGTATACAGCAGTGTAGATAAATTGTAAATCACAATAAAATGCCCGACTTTTGTTATGTAAAGATATTAATGTGAGGATTTTAAAAAAGATAAATGGATGACTGCCTTAATGAAAAAGAAAGATTCTTACAGTTGTACGCTACTATCTACAAAACCTTTGATGCTTTAGTTTTAATATGCTCTCCATATTATGCTTTGTGTTGCAATAAATAGTATAATTTTTACATAGGCTGTTTTACATATGCTACTGTACAAGAAGAGTATAAAAAAATTCTCTTATACCTGCCCTTGCAATTTAAAAATTTACCCATATAAATAAATCTATAGTTTTAGGCACAAATGTTCACATAATATCTGACACTAAAAAGATTCTGTACCATATCATCAAAATTGTATTATTATCCATTATGGATTCCACAGTGACATATTTTTTTGTTTATAAGAAAATCACTTAATTTAACTCAATAAAATATTTATCTCATAAAAAGCATATAATAAAATTAAAGCTGCTTATTATTATTTATTACACTATATTCTCAATTCGCAGGACCAATCATTCCACCTTTGGAGATGCATATTTATTTGAAAAATAAATCTCTCTCTCTCTCTCTCTCTCTCTTTCTCACATAGGCCTCTGCCTAGATCATAACACTAGCTATAATATAGTCAGAGTAATAAGATCAGTGTTAATGAATGTTGGAAAGACTGGTCCTTCAAGACAATATTGAATTTACGCTTTTGTTAATCCTCCAATATTATGCTATCTCTGATACTAAAACTTGTCTCTACATTCTTTATATTATGCAGTTAATAAAACAAGTAAAGAAAAAATATTTTCACACATTATACATTAATCTGATTATGTTACAAATTTAATGGTATTACATATTAAATTAACAACTTCTCTAGAGCATCATAAATTAAATATTAGATAGTATTTTCACTGTAAAATCATGAGTGAAAATGAATGAAAATTATAACAAGAATATTGAATGTGAATCGTGGATAGACATAAACTTTGGAAGATTGACAATGTATTCATTTTGTTCATTCAATCGTGATTTTTACAAATTATATTTTTACATACCGGAATGCACGTGATGATATTCATTATTAATATATAATTATGGTTGTGAAATATAAGCATATTGAAAGTTGCTCGTGGCTTTAATATCACCTATTAATAAAAAAAATGTTTTCATATTACGGCCGGATTACGTACAGTCAGCATAATTTTTAATGGATACAGAATGTTTTTCACGTTTAATTTTTTTCAGAGAATGTCTATGCATTCTTTATGTAAATTGGACACAGCAATTGCACTTTTTTTATCAATATATGTTGTGGCATAACAAGATAAGTTATTGCATATCAACAATTTCACTTTGCAACATATTATGTCACGAAATATTTCCAAAGAAATTTTCTAGAACATGTAGAATATCTACATATACTAGACATACCTCTAATTTATAATTATAATAAAAAGACAATTAATATTTGTTAACTCATGTAAATATATGAGCAATACGTATATATAAGTTATATTAATCAAATTCCTACCAAAGAATTCGAGATTACAGAATTACCTTTCGATGCTCGAGGGACAATATCAATGTTCCTCTTGCACACATAAATATTTAAGTAAGATCTAAATAAGTTTAAGTTGTATCCTCTCACGATTGACTTGAAATGTAAAGATTCAAGCACAACAACATTTATAGCAAATATCTAATATTATATAGATCTTGAAACATTTTTTTCAGTTGCTACTCATAGATATGCATATTGAGTAGTTTCCGTCCAATACGCACAATATATATGCATATATATATTATATGGATGGAATCTCGTAAAACGCCGGTAACAATTTATAAAAATGGAAAATTCGTTCATTGGCGCCAGCAATGATTATTTTATGCTATTGCTTTGCGATTCTGACAATGAAATCGGGCGAACTTCTACAACCCAAATGAATTTTTATCGATGTGAAATCTTACTCTCTCACTCTTTTGAATAAACAGCTTTTATATGAGAAACAATTTCGCGTGATGAAGAAATGAAAATAAAATATTTTATGTAATCACAGTTGGTGCGTCACGGTGAGTATATTGACGAAGTTCGCTTAATTCTAATGCGATATTAATTAAAGGTTTTAACACCAATTGTGCGTCTTTCTCGAAAGTAGCTGGATCATTTTCATAACTATCGATATACATACGGATAGTAGCGCCTGAACTTCCCGTTCCGGATAAGCGGAATATAACGCGGGAACCATCCACGAACAATATTCGTAAACCCTAAAATACAAATACAAAATGATGTAACTATAGCTCGAATTTATAATTATAATCATAGTACATACCTGTTTCGTAGCTTTGCTACCGTCAACAGGATCCGTGTAGGAATAATTGTCCGCTTGCTTAACAACATATTCTTTACCTTCGTACTGCAGCTTTTTGCCAATAAATTCTGGTTTCTCAATCAGAGCTTCAATGCTCTGCATCATCTTATCCGCGCAAGCAGAGTCGCAATTTTCATAATCATATCTAAAACCAATAATAAAATTAAAAAGGCAATAAAAGATCGCCGAGATAAGAAATATTTAAATATATTTGTTAAGATAGTAAAAAGACCATCATTATATACCTAGTGAAGAAATTTCTTCCATAAACTTTCCAATGATCTAATAAAATATTCTCTACAGATTTCCCAAGTCCTGCGATGACATTGAGCCATGCTAAGCATGCCCATATTCCATCTTTCTCGCGAATATGATCAGAACCAGTACCAAAACTTTCTTCTCCGCACAATGACAGATCTCCAGCATCCATCAAATTTCCTAAAGTTTAGAAACATCGTAAAATGTTATTTAAAATATTTTTTTAAATATAAAATCCTGCATACCGAAATATTTCCATCCAGTAGGAACTTCGAAAAATTTCATTTCGTTCTTAGCGGCGACTCTATCGACAGCTGCAGCCGTAGGCATGGATCTAGCATATCCTTTGATGCCAGTCTTTTGGAAATATGGAATTAATTTTAGATTAGCAGCTAATACTGCTAAAGAATCAGAAGGAGTAACAAAAAAAGCTTTCTTCCCCAAGATCTGTAAGTACAAGCAAAATTAGAACAATCTTTTAACTACGAAAACTTTAGAGTTTTTAAATTATTTTTCTGATTGATTTTAGTCACCATATTTCTATCTCCGTCCCCATCAAAAGCGGCACCAAAGTCATATGGTCCTTCTTTTATAGCATTCACTAAATCTTTGGCATAAGTTAAATTTGGATCGGGATGTAAACCACCGAAATCTTCTAACGGCTTTATATTTACTAAACTTGTATCATCAACGCCTAATTCGCTACTAAATATTCTTTTTACATACGGTCCCGTAACTAAAAATTAATAAAAATTTATTATAATATCTCTATTTACAAGATCTGAAAGAATTCTTTATAAAACGCAGAGAGAGATAACACATGTAAATTATGTAATAAGCTAACCTCCATTCATCGAATTGATGAGAATTTTAAATGCTGGCTTATCCGTACTGCCTTGCAATAATTTCCTAATACTTGCAAAGTCAAAAATCTCTTTCATAAGTTCCACATAATCATTCACAGAATCAATTATATCGATAGTAAATGGTCTACCATCCACTTCGATAGAAATGTTCTGTATTTTATCAATATCTATGCTAATGTCAGGAATAATTTTATAACATTGGAGTGTTTTAGTGATTTCGTAGATATTATTCGTTACGTTATCTGGAGCAGGGCCACCATTATCGCAATTAAATTTAATACCAAAGTCGGCATCAGGACCACCAGGATTGTGCGACGCAGTTAGAACAATCCCGCCTTGTGTCTTATACTTTCGTATTATAGTTGACACTGCTGGCGTTGAGAGAATGCCATTTTGACCAACAATCAATTTTCCTACCTAAAAATAATAATTTTGCAATATAATTTATTTGGTCTCTATACTTAATTTCTTCCTACAAGTATTTTTAGATGACATAGAATTTTCTTTTACTTAGTATTATTTTTTTTTTAATAAAATTGGCACAATGTCAAAAATAATTAAATAAATAATTAAATAGTATAATACATATTACACATAAAAATCAGCAAAATATATCCTAATAGCGTTAAGACATTACATGTCATGTAGACATGTATGCTTGCTGATATCAAATATCAAGCTTACTATAATTGTTCAGTGACAGTTGCTTGCATAAATATTTCTTTATCTCTTTCAATGAAAGCCTGCCAAAAACTGTCAAAAATACCTTACACATAATTCAGTCCCGATGCGTAGCATCCATGGACTTCTTATGGAGATTCCGCAAAATTCTCGAACCGGTTGATCAATCTTACCCCATTTGCCGCGGCGATCCGGATGATCTTGGCCACTGCTTCCTTGCAGTAAAACCGTCCGTCACCGCCGACGACGAGAGTGCAGCCGGTCAGATGATCACCTACAGCTTGCAATATCGCTTGGATAAAGTTCTCCGTGTAGTGTTCCTGCTGAAAGACTTTGACAGCCTTACGCAAACCCGAAGTGCCCGGTTTCTGGCCTTCGTACACCCGGGTGTTCACCGTCAAGCTCGTCACCGGCGTCGTCGTCGTCGCGGACATGTTCTGCAAGCGCGCTGCAAACGGGAAGAGATGCAAAAAAAGAGAAGAAACGATGCAATTAGCTGAAACTAGAAGTACGTGTCGCAATCGGCGAATGCGCCGACCGAAGGGAGAGATCGTGCTTTCGCGATAGCCGCCCAACAACTGCCGGCAGGCCGAACTTTGCCTGTCAATGACACGCAAGGGCACGGGCGCCCGGTCGCCGCCATCTTGCAAGATCGCGCGCGCCAGCTGTCGCGCACGTGCATGCACAGATAGGTCAGGGGAGCTGCCGCGTGGAGTACGCACACGCTTCCAATGTATGCCGTATGATGTACAGGCAAAATGACGGAAATGGAGAAAGAAATGACTAATTTGATCGGAAACCTTTTCGAATATTTTTGTGATTGATCCGCGATTCTTTGAAGGTAAAAAGTGTACGCTCAATTATATTATTTATCTCAAAAAGTGTTATGATAAAAGCGCGAATCCCGGATTATACAGGGTGTCCCATTTTAAATGATATGCTTAAATATCTCCGAAACGCGGTGCGTTAAATAAAAAAATGTTTCAAACAAAAGTTATATGGCTTGAAGGGGGCCATCAGATGATGGCAATGATTTGATCTTGGAGTCATTTGAAGATCACGTGAAGGTCACCGTCAATTTCTTAAATGGAACCCCCTATTTTTTATTGCATATTCTTGTAGCTTATCTCGAGGGCTTTCTAAAACACTATAATAAAATATTTTTCCCTCAAGTACTTTTTAAGTTATAAGGCTTGGAATCATTTCTTAATTTTACATAAATCGTAAAATATCTCGTAAAATATTCATTTTTCGATTATCTTACCTTCATATTTTTATGTCCAAAATAATAAGAGGAATCAATTGGTGTAAAGAACACATAATTGTTTCGAAGAAAAAATATGTAATTTGCAATTAACAATTACATTTTTTTTTTAAATAATAAATATGTGTTTTCTTTACATCAATTGATTCCTCTCATTATTTTGTACATAAAAGTATGAAGATAAGATAATCGAAAAATGAATATTTTATAAGATATTTTACGTTTATGTAAAATTAAGAAATGATTTCAAGACTCAAAAACTACTTGAGGGAAAAATATTTTATTATAGTGTTTTGGAAAGCTCTCGAGATAAGCTACAGGAATATGCAATAAAAAATAGGGGGTTCTATTTAAGAAATTGACGGTGATCTTCATGTGAATTTCAAAGACTTTCAAAGACTTCAATGACTCTCCAAAATCACATCATTGCCACCATCTGATAGCCCCTTTCAAGCCATGCAACTTTTGTTTGAAACATATTTTTTATTTAACGCACCGTTTCGGAGATATTAGCGTATTATTTAAAATTGGACACTCTGTATATTTACGATATTATTTACGTGTATGATATATTTATGTGTATTAGAAAAAAAAGAAAATATGAAAAAAATGTACATATTGGATAAAATAAACAGATCTAAGACTTGTCAGTTTTATTCGGAAATACAAAATTTTTTTGGTGATATACTGTGTGACTCCTGATTAATGCAATATTTAATTCGTAAACGAGCGAGCGAATTTAAAGCTTTCTATCTAATATCCAAATTGCTCGTAGCGCATAAACCTTCGAACAAATTTATGGAAAAATATTTAAGAGATAAGTAAAATTGCTACTTCATTTAAGGAAAGTGAGCGTGATCAGAAAAATCGCTCAATAACCGATTTCAATTTTTTACGTTAATAAACTTTTAATTTTATTAAATAAAAAATTGAAGATTGTCTTATATTTTTATATAAATATAAAGATTCCTATAATTCTATAACTGTTGTATTTGCATTCAAAATGCTAGATAAATAATAATGCATTCTGTGATCAGATTATCATTGAGAAAACTGTTTTTATATAAAAATTAAGAGAATATATTTATATCATGAAAAGAATATCATGAAAACCATACACTTTAATTTATTTTCATTGATTTCTACAATTTCAGTTTAATCATTTTCGATCGTAGTAATAATTTTCACAAAATAATATATTTTTAACACTTTTCAGCTATCAAATGAATTAATAAGAATAATCGTGAAGAAACGACATTAAGCTTGTGAGATAGCAAATTTATAAATAAATTATGTATAAAAATTAATAACACGAAAAAAAAGCTAGAGATAGAAATAGACATGTGCTATTTTTTTCGACTTGTAAATAATATCGTAAATATATAAACTCCCTTGGAATTCACGTTTGTCATTTTTGAGATAAATAAGAGAAGTAAAATAAGGACAATTACATATTAATATAGTTAATAATTCGCTATTTAGAATTAAACTGAGCATCGAACATGATAGAAATCGCATGTTTAACACAAGTTTGACGTCACGAATCATATATTGCTTTAAATTAAGATAACAAATGTACAGGATTTCTCACGCATCGCATATATATAACACATCGTTTAGAGATAAATGAATAGGGTCGCGAGTTCATATTTTAAGTGGAAATAATAAAAAGAAAACATCGCAGTTATTAACTGCTTCAAAAAAACAGCGCTCGAGAAAAAAGAAAGGTGCATTTTGCGGATGCTGTTCAATGTATTTGTTAACTGTTATTAACATAATTAAATATTTTTTCATAAGCTTTCTTCATAAGTTTTCTCCGGAAAATACCAGAATATTGGACATCTTAAAACATGATTATCAAAAATGATTAAAATTAAACGAATCGATATAAAATCTATTAAATAGATATATTCATTAGGTATCCTGTAAAGTAATTACAGTACACTTTTTCTAGTATTTAAGTATTCTCTTCTAGTATTTTATCTTTATCATCGGAGAGATTTTCGGAGACGTACTAACGAAACACTTATAATGACATTGATGTGAGATTATCGACTTGAATGTACGACACACTACGTGAAGAGGCCCAAAAGTCTACTCAGTTGTCTGTGTTTGATTGAAGAGAGTCTTACAAATAAAATGTATAACTAGTAGTGCGAGTATTACGAGAAGTATATTTTATAACAAATGCTTGACATAATCATTTGCAAATTATATAGCATAATAAGTCACATACAAGTAACGAAGTAAACACTCAACCCGATTTGCGTCAATAATCCCGATTAATTCAACGAGATAAATCAGTTATCTCTTTGTACAATTCTACCTACAATACAGATTAAAACTAGAACCTCAAAATAGAGCACTACGTCAATGCGATTTTTTTATTCAAGAGGTTAAAGCCATGAATAGAGCAAATTCGAGTTTGCTGCGAAACGATAAGAGAGAGACTCGTACAATCTTCGAAAAAATCACATTCATAACGACTGTTTTTACCGCGAATCTCTCATTTGATTTTAAGAAAGCATCGACATTGAAAAGGAAAAATAAAAATCATGGCAAACATTGTGATCATTTTATGATCGACCGATTAATTCGACACTTTGTGATGACATCGGTCATTATTTAACGACACGCGCTTGCGCTGGTGGTCGTTGAAAAACGGGTAGAAGGAGAGTGTCAAGTCAAGGCTGATATAAAGTTCGCGAGTTTATAAAACAGAGATCAACTTGCTCCAAAACCCAGTTTTCCAATCGACCGCGTTCGCGCAGGAAGAATAGTTATCGGTGATAGTTTTAAGCTCGATCGTATCGTCGATCATTCATTCTACTCTGAAAGACTACGAGAACAAATTAATCGGATTGATCGTATATTAGGAAAAGAGAAAGAGAGATATAGATAGATGAATTGGAAATTTTTCAATTAATTTGCACAATCGCAGACGATTCATTGATATCGGATATCGTTCGACTGAGTTTACGATAACTTTTCGCGTAGTCGCTTGATCCTCTTTAATCATCGGCTATAATTTGAATAAAAAAAAAGATACATTTATCGGTTTGATAAAACCATATATGTCTTGTGAAAAAAGCAACAGTTATATTGAATTCGCTATCTGCGTTCGCACTTTATAACCGATAATATTTGATAGTTTTATTTAAAAAAAAATGACAATAACGAATCTCGCAATGCATCACTGAGAAAAATAACCGGTGAAAAGGTAACGAACGGATATTATCCGATCATTAACCGATTACTTTAATCGGAAAAAAAAGAAACCGATCAGATATCCAATCAGAAAATATCAATCGATCGGATATCTGATCAGAAAGTTCAAAATTCGGAACTTTCCGATCAGATATCCGATTAAAGTGATCGGTTAATAATCGGATAATATCCGTTCGTTACCTTTCCACCGGTTATTTTTCTCAGTGATTATTAACATAAAACGACGCGCATTGTTTAATTGTACACAGAGTAAGTATTTTTATGTTAGAAATTGCTCCAATAAAGGAAAAAAATATCACGTAACCATCGAGGTTTTAAACTTTTTCTTGTTACAGAGACTTTGATCATCAAAAACGTATTATGTACAAGTCTCGCGTTTACCGAAGTGGCAGCGATATTTCGCCACAAGACAGCGGGTCCGAAAGTACACCGATCCTGTCCTCGGAATCTCGCACGAGTCTGGAGCTATCGACGATATCCGATGATTTGGAAACAAGCGACTCAAATTTGAGCCCTGCCGGTTGTTCTTTGAAGTACGATATCTCTCTCTTCCTATCTTTTTTTTCTCCCTTTTGGAGAGACATATAAATATTGTACTTATATCATTTATAGGAAATACATACGCGTGACTTGTGTTGACGCATCTTGGTTATCTTGCCTAGATATGGGAGCATCGATGCCGCTAGTTATAGTACAACCCTAACAGCTGTACCGAAAAGGCCGACCCCTCTAACGCGGAACAACGAGTTGTATCTTTCGGCAGCGGCGCACTCGCCTTGCATCGTGAATTTCGTCCATGAGAAGAACCACGAGGTGCGTAACATCGATCTGGTAAAAAGAAAATAATAATATATAAGAATAAAGTAACGATATATTTGCAAAAAAAAATAGAATGACAATATTTTGGGAAGAAATAAATACAGTATCCTCTTACATGAGTATGTTACGTTCTTCTCTGCAGGTATTAACGAATGAAAATACCGATAAAAAAGCGTATGGAATAGATTTTCCATCTGGATCGCAATTTCAATCTGACATGATGGACATCTCGTGCAAGGATCTCAAGCCGAAGCAAAGTTCCTTAGTCACCATGTGAGTATTTTGAGATATGAAATCTCGATGTGTATGTATATGATACATATACGAAGGGTGTCGGGTATCAGGGACATTTCTAGACACGCGTTACTATTTATAACAATTGTCTGTGTGATAATCTATTTCTTAAAATCAATTAAAATCCGAACAATTTCGTTAACAAATTCCGGAGCCTCAAATAATTCAATAGATTAGATGAGATTACATAGTTTATCACCTACGTAGAATAAATATTTCGAAATGTCAAACTTTAATTTTAATTACTTAATAAGATATATCTTTCAATTATCTTATTATTTTTTATTATTGATAAAAAAAAACACATTTTAATATATTTCTACATTAATACTCGATGTCAAAATAATAACTCCAATAATATCTTAACAATAAAAAGACTAACAAGCAAAGGTGGTCGAAAGATAATAATCAAATAAATTCTATTTGATTAATATCTTAACATTTATTACTATTATATTTTTATTATATTATTATATATTATTTATTAAAATTCTTAAATTGATATAAATTTTTATATAAATTTCACACGTGGAATATCTTCGACTTTCTTGCGCTCGATTTAAATGTTACTTCCTCATCGATAAAAATCAGCTGATTTTCCAATATATACTGTATACACGCGAAGAGAAATAGAGATCGATACGAGATGTGTCATCAATGATGAATAATAATGTTTATCTCATATTATTTATCATATTTCTGCTTATATTCTGTGATACAGCGTGTATCGTACTTTCTTTTTTTTTTACGTGTAATGACGCACTCGTTTATCTCCCATAGATGGCTGATGGCAATGGGCCCGTAACTTGCATCAGCGCATCTTGGAAATTGATTTTTTCTTCATCGTTACCATACATAGAGAGAAATTATGTATGAGCACTGTATTTCAAACATTATCGCGTTCAAATAATCTTGTTTTAAAAGGAAAGAGCGCTGTTAAGATAACATAACGAATAGTTGCATAAAACACATGACAATTAACTCGTACAATTGATAGCTAATTATATCTGTGCTGGAAAGCAACGTAAGATAATAAGAAAATAAGAATTTTTTTTCCCGATGTGATCCATTATGCTATATATATCTCTTGTAGATAAAAAAAGGAAATACGTTCGTTATAATTTTTATAGTTAGATAAGGAAAAGCTAATCGTAATTGGTTTTTTTTTTAATTTTGCGTGAAAGAATGTCAGTGTCAGTATTTAATCAGTAGTTAATTATAAATAAATTTTTGCACTCTCGTAAAATCGAATGTCTCATGTCCAATCAATTTGAGGGATAAGTATGAACGAAATATCTCTGACACACGCATATATATATACAGGTACATATATACAACCACTACATGTGACTGATATAACCTAAATACTTGCACACGCCAGCGCCAATGAATGATAACGGTTTTCGATGACAGATGGGGGCTACTCGAATTTTCTTATTCGGCTCACTCACCATTTATTCGTCAACATTGTCCTCGCCTGCGAAACCTCCAACTTTCGAGATCGTCCGAGAGAATCCTCGATCACCGAATTTCACCGCGCGATAAAAGGCCTCGGATTCGCGATCTCTCACTCGTTCAGTCCTCCCTCTCGTTCCCGCGTCTGGAAAACGAGCGTCCGGAGCGAACGCGCGACGTCGCTCTCGGTCATCCAACGTGCGTTGTCCGCACTTCGCGCGGGAGATTTCGGGGATTTCTCGGTTCCGATCGACGGTTATGCTCCACGTTACGCTACGGGAAGAAGACGGGCGGCGCTCGTTTTCGAGACGCGGGAACGAAGGTACCTGCCTGTCGCTTAGCGCGACGACGCGCGCCTCGCGCCGCGCGACGTCCCGGAACGTCTAGAGCGCGGCGCGACAGGACGCCCAAAGGGGTTACCGCTCTGTCTGTTGCCCGGGCAACAGACGACCGCCCCGTCGAAGGTGAATGCCCTTAGCCGACAACCCACCGCGCCGAGCTCCCGTTTCGCCGGGCACGAGAGCGGCACAATTTCGAGCGAAAAAGAAAGAGAGAGAGAGAGAGAGTTCGGACCATTTCGGAAAGGATTCTAACATTTGTCGAGAAACGACAGAAATTAAAGTTCTCTTGCCGAAAAATTCTTCTTTTCACAGATTTCTATCTATTCATATTTATTTCTAAAAATAGAAAATTATAATCGCGTTAAAAATTGCGTGCACATTCGGAGGCAAAATTCAATCCGCACAGTCGAAATTACTTGTATCGATTATTATCGTGATGTATTTATTTTTATATACCACAGACTTTTGTAATATTAATACTATATATTATATAATATTATATATATGATATATATATATATGTATATAATATATTATATATATATTATATAATATTATATATATTATATTATTTAATTATATGTATATTTATTACTTTATATATTTTTTATTATATTATACAATGTAAAAAAATATATATATGATATACAGAAGTCTGTGGTTTTTATAATACGCACGAAAAGATTAGTGTTTATTTTTACGAGCGAGCAAATTGACTCACTCATGGAATAAATATGAAATTAAAACGAAGAAAAGATAGCTCGTTTGTGAAATCGGACGTTGCCCCGCTGCCAAAGTTCGTTCTTGGCCAATATTATTTCTGAAAATAAGCAATTATCTCGATCGTAAAAAAGTCGTTCTATGGTCACAATGATGAATCAAGTTCAACGAAACAAAGACACCCTTGGTCCTACATTCGCGAGATGATCCAAATCATGAGATTCGTGTATTATAAGATAGATAATATCCCCCAAAAATTAATGATAATGCGCGTTGATGATGACGTGCAACACAAGAAATAGACAGGAATATATCTTTACGAGCTCGATCGTTCGATTAAGTATAATCAATTATTGGGACAAATGATTTGCGTATGCGAAAGTAACGTAATATGCATATTATATATCAAGGAAGAAATAATTGATAAAAGTAATAAACGAGATCTCTCAATAATTAACGCTTCTTATCAGAGGAGACTATGGATTCCATTACAAATTCGTGAACGCCTTCTTCTCTGATATTTGCGATTTATATTAAATATTTTCTTTTTATATATCATTAAAATTATCTCTATTAGATAATTAAATTTACTAGAAAACTAATTATATGCAACGACACGTGCGTAATGATATTTAGCATGGTGACAAAATATTATATAATTTAGATATTAATTTTCATATCCTTTATCTTTCAGATTTTCAATATGGAATACGATATTGGGCTCATCGTTATTGACTATGCCATGGGGAATCGCGATGGCTGGACTTTTTCCTGGGATTATCCTTAATCTAATGATGAGCGGTTTATGTCTATATACAGCTTATCGTCTCGTAGTTGCATACGCGTATCACGGTAAGAGTCTTTCTCCATGAAACAAGTTGTAACTTACCGATGCAATGTCACGAATCGATCGTTTGCATTTCCGAAGGTGGAGGAGAAAATATAGAAGTCATAGACTTGAGTCGAATATATCTTGGCAAATGGGCGGAGTACATTGCCAAAATCTTTAGTATTGCTGTACTGATAGGCGCAACCATAGCTTATTGGGTACTGATGGCTAATTTCTTGTATAATATCGTGAATTTTATTTATGGTAAGGATTTTCGTTGTAATCATGTGTGTATGAGAATGCAAATCCTTATGATCCTCTTATATTCGTTCCGCAGATAATGCAGCTGGCTGGCCGACGCGTTCCATACCTGAAAACATTTCCAATATAGAAGGTAAATGTATAAAATATAAAGTTTAATTTATTATTGAAGAATAATAAATGTTTTCATACGATATTAATTCATCTTATATGTATTGCTTTAATTATTGTAGTCTTATGTTCAAAAAAACAAACTCAGGATAACAATACTGTTATAATACGCGAGAAGACATTTGACGCATTAGGACCAGCGTGGGATTTACACAACACAGTTCCTGTGTTTTTAGCTTTATTAATATTTCCATTATTGAATTTTAATAGCACAACATTTTTTACGAAATTTAATTCCCTTGGTAAGTATATGTGTGATATTAATCGCCCACTTTTATACTTAATATATTTGAGTATCTCCATTAATATTATTATAAAATTTTAAATCTTTGGCAGGGACGATATCAGTTATATATTTGATTATCTTCATTTTAATAAAATCCACATCATGGGGCATTAACATGGATCAAATAGAATGGACAACAAGTTGGGATATACAACCCACATTTCCAGCCCTCACCGGAATATTGGCAATGTCGTTCTTTATTCACAATATAATAATTAGTATAATGAAGAATAATCGTAATCAAAAGAAAAATGTAAGTTATTTTTAATTCTCTTAAACACTTATGTATATCAGATAAAGATTATTTTATTTTGTTTTTAGGGAAGAGATTTAACTATAGCATATATTCTTGTCACATTAACTTACATCATTGTTGGAGTAACATTTTTTATATGCTTTCCTCTGCCAAAGTCATGCATAGAAGATGTAAGTATATGTAATATTACAAAAATGATGATTAAACAATGAATTTAATATACTATAAAAGTTGTGTCTTGACATGCTTTCTAAACTAAAACTCATCTTTGTTCCACAGAATCTATTGAATAATTTTCAAAAGTGGGATGGCTTTACAATAGGTGCTCGTATAGTACTACTTTTCCAACTAATAACCGTCTATCCTTTGCTCGCATTTATGCTACGTGTACAATTGCTCTCATCAATATGCAAAACAGTATCTAATAGGAGTTTAGTACTGGTCACTAATCTTATACTAGTTTCTATATGTATTTTGTTCGCAACCTTTATGCCTCATGTCGGAACTATTGTTAGATACACGGGCGCTTTAAGTGGATTTATCTACATTTTTACTTTACCAAGTTTACTGCATTTATCGATTTTAAAGAAAGAAGGGAAATTAACTGTGCCTTCTCTGTTAATCCACTTAAGTATTCCTATTATTGGAATTATCAATATCATTGCTCAATTTTTCATTTGAGATCATTGATCACATAATTAAAATCTCATAATCATAATCATAATCATAATCATAATCAGTATGATAGTGTTTATATAACACTTAAAATTAATTACACATAAATAATCATTAAGTATACATTGTTATGTATCTTAAGAGGAGTAAAATCCTGTAGTTATAAAATTACATTAAGTAACACAACAAAACAGCAATGCAGGAAAACAATGCAAAATTTACATTGAATTTTTTACTTGTAATCTCATCAAAATTGATAATCATTTTAGATAATAAGAAAATATTTTTAAGATTAAAAATCGATGATATAAAAAGTATAAATCGACCATTTTTTCATAGTAGATATAATTTATTCTATATTCAAAAAAGAAAAAGAATACACATGTCAATTTGATACAGATGTGAATTTTTTTTTTAAATTGCGCTACATATTTTCTACCTTTAAATAAATAACATTAAATAAGCAACAATTATTTTTAAATTTTTTCTTGTAATTTATCCAAGAATACTCAAAAATATACCTTTGATTCCTCTGTTCAATTCTTACATATCTTGTAAACCCAAACAGTGTCAATTCCTTGTCCAATTGTTGTAATAGGATGTGTATTAGGAAGAGGATATCTACATGCAATTACAAGGGAATCTTTGCACAATTCACTATTAAATTTCTTTTCAATATCTTCCATCTGCAAAAAATATGAGACTGTTTAACATACATATTTATAACATCTAGAGAGGCATAATAATTAAAAAACCATACCATTTGATCTACACCAAATATAACAATATTATTATATTTTTTCAAATTATATTTCCATAAATCCTGCTTGAAAAATGCAGTATCATTTGATAAACCATTAATCAATGCTTTAAATTTTGAATAGCATACCAGCCAGGTATTTAATTCAATACCATGAGCCTTAAAACCATGCTTTGCTGCTGCAAGAACCTATTTTTGAATTATTATTATTTTATTTTATATTTATATCAATAGTAAATGTTTTATTTTCACAATTTATGAATTCAAAATATTATTATACTCACAATACGTCCATCTCCACTACCAAGATCAATTAAGGAACCAGAGCGACCATTTAATGCTTGAATGACATTTTTTATTTGTTGATGCGTGGCTGGTACATATGGCAAACATATCTTACGAAACGCAGGGCTTATAAATGGAAAGCACACGACGCTAATCGCTGTTGCAATTCCACCTAATGATGCACAAATAAACATAAAAATAATTTTGTACATGAAACTGGCACAAAATTAATAATATAAAATAACGAACCTGTGACTGCGATCAAAAATAAACCGATCTTGGATTTTTGTGACGTACTAACATCATCTTTTTTGACAGAGAAATATTCCATTACGATAATATATTCCGCTGTTGAACATAACTTTTTTACGCGGAGCGTAAAATAAAAATTCGGGCACTGATTGTTTTAAATGTCAAATATATATGAGAATAGAATCTAAAGCAGTCATTTTACAATGGTGTTTAAAATTTCGCATCTCGTACAGTCTCCCTAACTCGTCCCTGCAGATGAATTCCACATGTTAGGCAAAAATCAGAAAATCTAACTGGTGTTAGATGCGATCAGCTGATCTCTGGCAATTACGTTAACGTTGCAGGTTAAGTTAGGTTATCATTCGCCGCGAGTTATATCACAAACATATTTCCATACATTCTAATTTATCTCATAATCAGTGCGAAATCACACTGGACATACATATTATAACTGTGCAAGTAATTTCTTAATATTTGTTCATTTTAAAAAAAGTGAAGTATGGCGAAACATTTGAGCGCAAAAATCGGCCCGTCGATTTTAAACGCTGACTTGGCACAACTTTACAAAGAATCGCAAAAGTTACTTGACAATGGCGCGGATTATTTGCATTTGGATGTGATGGACGGTCACTTTGTTCCCAATCTTTCGTTCGGTCATCCGATTGTAAAGTGTCTTCGTAGTAAAATAAAGGATGCCTTCTTCGAGACACACATGATGGTATCTAATCCAGAACAGGTATGTGAGATTCCATTTTACTTTAGCACAAATATTTTTTTTCAAAAATTACACAAACAAATGCTTATAAGTATAAATTTTGAGATACACATGAGATAAGAATTAGAGAAAAGTAAATGAATAATTACAGTGGATCGAGCCCATGGCTGATGCTAATGTAGATCAATATACATTCCATGTCGAGCCAATAAAAGATGTACCTTTGATCTGTAGAAAAGTAAAGGAAGCAGGAATGAAGGTAATACTATCTAAAAATTTATATACTTTAAGTGGAATATTAATGGATTGCAAGTTAATTTTGAAATAGGTTGGTGTGGCACTTAAACCAGGAACACCTGTAAATGTGATAACAGATTATGTGGATCTAGCCGATTTGATTTTAATAATGACTGTAGAACCTGGCTTCGGTGGGCAGAAATTTATGGAACCAATGTTGCAGAAAGTTGCATGGTTGAGAGAGAATTATCCTGGATTAGACATTGAAGTCGATGGGGGAGTTGGTCCAAGTACAATTGAAGCCTGTGCAAAGGTAATCAAAAATTATTTTAATAAATAAATAATATTATTAAGAAAACATTCCAGAGAGAGTTAGCTTGTATGAAATTAAATTTTCAATTAATTATATATTGATTCGAATTATCTTTTCAGGCTGGTGCTAATATGATTGTATCTGGCACAGCTGTTATAGGTTCCACTGATCAAGCTAAAGTAATTACAACTCTTAGAGATACGGTAAATTGTTATTTGGAGCACAACCACTCAAAATAGCAGTGAAATTGAAAATAATATGAATAAACAAAGCATTTTTGAGAAAACATTTAACATTTTTATAAAAGTATATATGTACAAAAATCTGTATATATTTTTGATGAAAAAACAGTTAATGTGATAAGATTTAATATGATTTTAGAGAGAAAGATATGATGTACTTATTTATTCCTATTATTTGTTATTATTATTGATTTTAGAAAGTGATTTCTTTAGGCACTAATTTAGTCCTTAATTCAGCTAAAGTCAAAAGAATAGCTTCTTCTGTTCTAATTGTCCGTGATCCTTGTTGAGGACATGTATTCACATATTTATGAAATAACAAGGATGGATCATCTACGTCTAAATTCGGATCCACGTCCACAGCAGCTTCTAATCCAGTAACACCTCCAAATACTATGAGACAGTGGCGATATTCTAAACTCTTCGCTTCTATTTCATCGATTAATGTTCCCTTGTCAGATGTACCAATTGTCAAGTCGTATCCTCCTTTATACTGACAATTTGTCAGCACTTCTGTCAAATGCTTGACTAACTTGACAGTATATCCCCAGTAGATTCCAGCTTCTGCACGGGGTACATTAGGTGGCACAATGATACCTTTTAATTTCTTCGAATTTGGCTGCTCCATTGGTATCTTCACAGTCACCCTTAAACCAGGCATCAGTACCTTATCTACATGAACCTCGTTCAAGAGTCCTACATTTACCTGAGATCCTTTGCCGACTTTTATAGGTTTGTTGGTGACTATTCCTTCTCGATACAGAGACTCGTCCATTTGTCTGAGATGATGAGGTGCGTCTAAGGGATTCAATACACCAGCGTATTGCAAATCCTTATGAATAGGAAAGAAATACTTCCTCAGGTATTGCGGGCATTCCAAGTACTGCAGTATCCTGGCCAACTGCAGGCATCCAAGCCTAGCTTCGCCCAGCGCATCGTCCTTCCTAATCTTCTTTCTCTCACTCTCCGTAACGTCTCCCTTGTCATCGAATACTATGATCTCGTCTACCCTGTAGATGCAAGCCGCGCGCGCGATCTGTCCTGCCAGATATGTTCGCAGCTCCGGGGATTGGGCGTTATCAAGGATGGATCCCGGTACTGCGATGCTCACAGTGCAGATATCCTTCCGTTCGCACCTCGTTCCTTCCACGTGCTCCTGGGACTCGTCCTTCGATTCCTTTTCGAGTTCCTGCTTCTTCATCTTCTTCATCAGCTTCTCTTCCCTCCATTGCTTTCGAAGCTCCTTCCGTTTGCGATTGTATTCCTTCCAATTCTTTAATTCTGGCTTTGCGGCCGACATTATTTTTTCCTTCAGGCCCTCTGAATCCTCTAATCTTGTTGTAACGTACTTGTTATAACCTTAGCAGAGGTAACCTAAAATATCAAAACGTCTTGACATGGCATAAATACATATGTAAACTGAAGAATAATATTTACTTGTTACATCATCTTAAAAAAATTTATTTAAGAAAATAATTATCACTGTTGAACGAATTAATTCGCCAATTCCAATTATTTTTAACACATGTTTTGAATTATTCCTATATTAAAATTATGCGCCTAGGTGTCACTTGAAGACTGCTCCTCGAAAGTTTCGATATCTCGAGTTCGATATCTCGGTTCTTCGATGGATTTCGAATTATGATGTCAGACATAAAATTCGCTGCCACGTTCGAGTCACGTTTGAGTCTTTCTATACTTTTTACGATGTCATTATCGTACATAAAAGTACGGCTCTCGCAAATAAAAAAATATTTATGCAATAATTCATTGTGTCGCGAGCTATCGAATATTTTATTAAAAAACAGCCGAGTTTTGTGTTTCAAAGAATAAAATTAACAAACGAATGTGTGTCGCCTCTCGAGCAAATTCGCATTTAATTTGCAAAAGTGTGACACTTGAATTACACAATCTGGATGCCTCGCCGATTTCTCAACATCGCTACGACAAGTCCACGTGATTTTATTATGAAGTGTCGACTCGGCAAATCGCCGAGTTGGGATTTTGAAGCGACATTGACGAAAGTCCGAAGTAATACAGTGTGATAAAGTTTGGTAGAATGTCAAAAGCCAAGTGTAAGTATCTGAAAGTGTCAAAATTCGAAAGTTTCAAAATTCTCAATTTTGCGAAACTTTCTTACAATTGCAAATATATTATCTGTGTATCACGTTGAAGAGCATATGCAACTTCTTTATAAAAGTTATTTTTCGCTTCTTTGCGAAATATATGACTATCTCTATTTTTAAGTAATAAAAGAAAACTCTTAGAAGAGAATTTATATGTTTTCGCAAACTTAGACGAGGACAGAATTCCTTTCTTCCTGGACGAAAGCGAGGTCAGGATTGTTGATGTGCCGTATATGTACAGCGAAGGTCCCATTCAGAGTGCTCAATACAATTCCCCGATGCTCAAGGGTGCCGCACATCAATTAAAAAGATGGCCGAACGACTTGTTCTCCTCATTCATGACAGCGTGTCTCATCATTAGCGGCTTAGTCCTTTTTGCTTTCGTCACGGCAATATTTTGCTCCCCCGCAATTAGCGATGATAATTGCTGGTACGTAATCTTATCGAGGATTTTTTCAATACTTTCACGAAAATACAAAAACTTATAATTTACATCTGAAAACATCGCATACGTGATAACAAAAATGTTTCATATTCTTTATGAATTGACTAGTATATAAGTTTTAAGATAATGATATAATCTATCAACATTTTAGTGAATATAATATCTTCGAAGATGAGCGTAAATTAAATGTCTATTTCGTGAAAGAAGCTACGCAAGTTTGGTCCAAAAAAGAATTCTGCTATATCGAGGCTGCAGCGAGAGAGCAACCTGATCTGAATGTATGTCAACATTTTATAATTTTATATATTTAGATTTTATATATTTAGATTTAAAAATAAGTAAAATTAATTTATGTTTGTAATAAAGTGTTATTTTTAATATACATTTAATATAAATTTGATATACATTTTGATATAAATTTATATAGAGCAAACATTTTTTTATGAAAAAGACATAGAAATTGTACGTCTATGAAAATATCATGTCTTTTACAAGAAATATTTAATTGATTATATTCTTATTAATTTCTCAAATAGCAAATACACGTCATTTGAAATCAAAATAATATACGCTAAATTTTTTTGCTATAATAAAAATATTATTTGCGAATTAATTTAATAAAGTATATATATTTTTATACAGATACACTTGATTAATTTGATGCGTACTTCCGATGCGTTAAACATCCCGGAAGCTCATTTCAAAATAGCACTAGCCACTCAAAATACTAATATTCGCATAGCCGATTTATCGATTGACGAATTTTTCAGCAAGTAATTATATTATACTATATAACACCCTAATTAATATATAATGTAATACTTAATATGTACATGTAATCTATATATATAAGGAATTTTTCTTTGTATGTTTATATTATTATATAATTATATATGATTTATTAATATATATATTATATATATTTAATTATATTCTGTGCAAAAAATAGCTTAACACATTGACAGCTGTTATAGTTACATATGTGGAATAGTTTACTTTGTTCTGCCAACGATTATCGATTGATGTCACGTATTCGTGACTTTTCTTAACTTCTCTTATCTATTTATACAATAGTTATTTTATGTTTATTTAGATTTATGTCATTTGTTGTGAGATTTATGGCATTATTTAATATATTTATATATTTTGTAATACATTATTTTTTTCTAGCTTGACTTACTTTTTATAGATACGTTAAATCTCTCGAAAAATGTTAGCGAAAAATAAATAAAAAACAAAAGCTTTTTTTATAAAAAATTCAACTGTCAAAGTAATAAATTAATATATAACAAAGAAATATTTTTTTTCATCAGAATTAATATATAATAATTTTTACTTACATTTTGCAATCATAAGGTCAAAATTATTAAGCGTTGCAAACAATTTGAACAACGGATTATTGCTGATGGCAGCAAGAGCATATTTACTTTGGAATTCGCCCGGAGTTGCTATGCAGCCTAGCACGTATTGCAACTTGTCGAAAATGAATAAATTTCAATGGACGTAAGTGTGATGAATGAATAATTAATAATTAATAATTAATAATTCTAAATGATTTTATTTTATTGAAGTAAGGGAGAAAAACGAGATTACACGTCCAGCAAATTAATTACGATTGACCCGACCATCGATTTGCAAGCAACAGAAGTACAATGTCAAGCATTTTTAGGATTTTTATTAAAGGAAATATCGAAAAATACAACGCTTTATAATTTAAAGGACGCCTTACATAAATTTTGTCCAAGGTATTTTTAATTAAAAATTATTTTCCTTTTTGTTTTCTATAAATGTTTTAATAGAAAAAATAATATACAAATAATAAAATATATAAAAAGTAATATATGTGATATAATAATATAATATAAATATATCATATATGATATCATCATATATTGTTATCATAATTCTTATTTTTTCAGAATTGATAAATGTCCTGAAGTACAAATACTTAATTTAAAATCACGATGCTCTGTCAATGTTTTCGATTGTCCTACCGTCCATATGATTGAAAATTTTTAGAAACTTACAATATATAATTTAAACATCTTGCCTTTGTAAAGCCATAAAAGAATTTAACGTAATCTGATCTGAAAATTTGCATTTAAGAACTAAAAATTAAAAAATACTGCGATATTTAAATTTTCACGATAAGATTTTACGAAATTAAAAAATAAAATAATTTGAAGAAGAAATAAGTATTTCTTTAAGAAATGCAAAGTTTGTGAAAAATATGTATAATAAAATAAATAAAAATAAATAGAAATATGTATAATATATATACGAAATGTGTAATATAAATTTTCATGCTCACATCGTTATGATGTCTGTCACCTATTACGATTGAAAATTTCGATATTCATAGAGCTGCAGAACACCCAGCCATGTCCATATTTCTATCACTAAATACAATACAAATGATTCGATACACAAGCGTTCTCTACTATACGAAAGCAATTCAAAACGAATAAATTAAATATAATAAAAGCAGAGTTATAAAAATTATATATATATATATATATATATATATATATATAATTATATATATATATATATATATATACTCTCTTTGTTGTGCTACATTTTTGTACAAAAAAAAGAAAAATAGAAAAGAAATTTACCGATCAATAAAAGGATTCCTGTAGCATAGAGTAGTGCAGTTTGTAATCGAAGATATCCAAAAAGATACCAAATCATTTCAATCGCATCGCAGGAATCACAGACAAGTTCGGCCATAAAGAGACCCATGAGGGGTAAACTAAATTGTGGCTGTTTCTAAAACGCGTAATAATCAAAGTAAAATAAATATATAAAAGTCATATACAAAATGTTAATGTGTAAAATAAATGTGTAAAATATAAAAAAAACAGAAAAAATATAAAACATAAAATGTCAAGAATAATATTATTTACCAAGATAACGGAATAGATGAGCATGCCAGTTGCAATAGCATATATTATGGAATGCGAGACAGAATAACCCAAACTAAATGTCATGATTGTTTTTCTCGGAGGAAAACCTTGAAAGATCTGTCCATTCTCCAAGATGCTGTATTGCATTGGTCCGTAATAGCATAAGAACAATATCGGCAAAGCTAATAACATTCCTCTAATTATCTTTAAAATTTCATTGTTGAAATACGTTTTCTTTTCCAACGATTTATCAATCTTTCCAATCATTTGAGAACTGTTAGAGCGATTTTTAACCATATTCAATGAAATTTTAGATTCGATCACCTGTAAAAGAAAAAGAATCGAATGAAAATTGTATGTATAAAGATAAAATATGAATATATATTTTTAATAAATAAGTATAATATAAGTATAATATAATAATACAATATATTCTTATGTATAGAAATATATTTTATGTGTGTGTGTGTGTGTGTGTGTATGTAAATAGAGATCAAATTTTATTTTATTTTGAAATTTATAAATTTTTTGCATATATATATATTACTTATTTTATTTTTAATTTTTAGCATTATATTCTCATCTTTATTGAATGTAGAATATACACAATAGAATGTAGAATATAAACAATATAATATAAAAGAAAACAAATTCTTATTATATAATTTTAGGTTGTATATAATACTAAATTTAATTTGAATATTGCAATACCGTTTTCGCTCGGCGACCATCACAAGTTTTTATTTTTTCTGGATAACCTTTATTGCTGCGAATAAAACTTGACACGTGATCCATTGTGATTCATAGATGATAATAAATTTTTTAGAACGAAAGACTTAATACTTTGACACTAATATATGTATACATATAAAATATTAATTATTATACATATTATTTTTATAATATAAATAATATATAAGTATATAGAAGAAAAATAATACTTTTTTGAGTATATGTGACTGATAAATTTACAAAAAGAAGATTGCAGACACAAAAAAATATAAAATAAAGGAAGAAACCGAATAATGAGAATATAAATTAATAAATGTAATTAAAATCAAACGAAAAACTACAATTGTATATATGTACAAATTGACATCTCTAAAATATATATAGTAAAATATATATACTGTTGTATATATAATATATATACAACTATTTTGTAATGATAACAGTAAAATTCGCTCACTTCATATTATTGATTACAATATTATTTCAGATATCTCGATACTGAAGAGCATATGTTTATTAATCACACTTTACAAGTCATTGGAAAATAATAATTTACACATATATGATTAATGGTTTTACCACTAACACATAAAAACATTAATTATATATGTGTAAATTATTGTTAACATATCGATACATCCGAATTCACTTAATCGTATTATTAATGAAAGAAATGTATTATCTAAAAATTTTGTATTTTTATATAAATTGTATCAAATGTGTTTTATAAAAATTTGGTTTAGATTAAAATTCACATCGATTAGATACACGGAAAAATAAATTCGATTAATGTGACTTAAAAACAACACTTCAGATGTTTTATGGATTTTTTTATTATGGATTTACAAATTATGGATAATCAATTGACGTTAGTCAAATTGTGACAAATTGAAAGATAAGGAAAAGCAACCTCGAAAATTTGCGAAAGACATATTGCAAATATAACGAAAAAATTCACTAATCGAATTGTTTAATATTTTTCTATTTGGAATGAAAAAATCCATTAATCGTATTGTCTAATAAAATGTGTATTTAAAAAAGGAATACAATTTTATCAAACAAGGAATTAGAATATGAAATGAATTATGGCTTTTCGTGATCGACGAAATATTAAAATCCATGGACATTTTGTAATTGAATGCATTTAATTATGATATACATAAATATATACACAAAATGAAATACATATATATATATATATATATATATATATATATTTTTTTTTGCTTTTATAAAACTATATAATAATTAATTAAATAATTTGATATATATATATATATATATATATATAATATATATATTATTTTAAACATATTAATTTAGTTAACAAATTTATATAATTTTTAAAAACTTTAAGAAAAGAAAATATATATTTTCTTTTATTTTACAGAGAATCGGTCGAATAGCTTGTTCTTTGTGCGATTATTATGTCATGGGTAGTTCAGTCTATGTGATTGTTTTGGGCTTCATTGGGATCGTTAGTCCATCGTAATACTTTCATCATGATAATTTAATGATTTACCTGTGTTAAATAGAAAACAATGTAACATTTAAATACACAATTAAAAATTCCATCAGATAATCACAGCTCTTGATATAATACGAACAATAAATTATAAGATTCCCAGAATATCGTCACATTACAGACATAATCAAGAAGGTAATAATTCTATTCTATGTATTTTACATTTTAATAAATTTACAGATTGTTACAAATAATTAATTAAATGTTAAATAATAATTGCAGTGCCTCTTACTGTCGAAAGAGACTTGAAGTTGATGACGTCGATACTGGGAATTGAGCATTATACTTTAATTATGTTAGGTGCTATCACGGTAAATATAAAGGATTAAAAATAATAATTAATAAGTTAATTTAAGAATTTTGAATTAAGGAAACAACTATATTTCTTCTATAAATATATAGTTTTGTTTTAGCAGGAATATCCTGTGCTACACACACCCTGGTTGTTGATGCAACTCTGCGTCATTATCGTGGAAATCATCGTCTTTCTTGTAAGATTCATTCTAGATGGTTTGCATATAAAACGCAATGAAATATTGCAAGCAATATTCACTTTGTATAACTGGTTGCAAGTTTTCTGTCTTTTTTATCGGCAAACACGACGAGCCATGTAGTAACTTGCTATTTTTTATACTAAATTATATAATTATATTATTTTGATACACAGGATGTGAATTATATAGCAATATAATATTTTTGTGTGTTCTTGACAATTTTTATTTAAATACATTTTAATTTAATTTTTAAATATAAATTAAATCGATATTTTTTCGAATTTTTAAAATATGATATTAATATATAATAATATCAAATTATAAAATGAGATAAAAAATTTCTAGGTACGCCTTTTAATGTCTATCCATTTTTAATTTTATTATATATATAACAATTCTTGTTCTGTCTCTACTTCTACTTCTGTCTTTACTTCTACTTAATCTTATGTTATAATTTACAGAAAGATTTTACATTTGGTTGATTCCTTTCTATATTCATAAAACTATCCTTCTTTTTAAGTTAACCCTTTTTAAACTTAAGCAGCAGTATTGACAAGCTCATCAAGATACTAATCCAAATAAGAGTAGAGATAAAGCCATAATATATTGTAGGTTCCGATATCGACCAACCTCTCGTTAGCATCGATCTCATCGATTCTGTGCTTTTTGTCAGAGGTAACAGAAAACTAATATACTTTAGAACAGGGTGTATGCCTTCTGTAGGCCAAATGATGCCGCACAACATCACAATTGGAAGAAAGCAGCCCATGGCCACATATGTAGCAGTTCTTTCGTGATTGCAGAAACAGGCGATGAAAAATCCTAAAAATTGAATTGTGTTTTTAAAAAATATTCTTATATTTTTCAGATAAAAAATTTTAGAAAAATATAAAGTATAATATATAAATTCGAGAAAAGCGAATTTTTTCTTTTTATACAAATTTTTCAATTTTTTATATGTTTTCACAATTTATTATTATTTGAAAAATCGCAAACATTTCGCAAAAATGGAAACATTTGCAAACAATTAAAAGACGTTTATTTTACATAAGAACTATAATGTTTATTTACATATTTATTACGTTTATTTTATATAATACTATAATATTTATTTATAAGATTTTTATAAATATTTCGTGTGTGTGATATTTCATATACTCTCTACGATTTAATATTAAAACAATTGATGAATTACCAAAACACATGCCACAGATACCCGTGAGGACTGTCAAAGTAGTAATCCAACCTATGTTGCCTACGCAAGTGATCTTGAAAATAGCGAATGAAACTATGAGAACCATTATGGTCTGTCCTAACACTACTATGAACTGCGTGATCACTTGACCGAAGAGAATCTCAGTGCCAGTGAGACCTGAATAAATTATACAAAATTACAATTAATTATTTATCAAGATTTATCAATTCAATTTTTTATTCCATAAATTTTATTTGTTCAAAATTTTGTGTATATTCATTATACTTATACGTGTATTATTTTTAATATTTTTTTATATGTACCTGATACAAGAGTTCTTTCTAGCAGACCCTCATTTCTTTCTAGCAACATGGAACCCGATGTCAATGCAACCGAAAGAAAGAAGATGATTCTGAAAGAATATAAAATTATTTAATTGTTTGAATCACTAAAAAAATATTTGGAACAGAAAAATTAATTTTAATGGATATATGCATTACTATTACACTGACATTAATGATAATTGACAATAATACTTACGTTAGGATCACTCCAGGAGCTGTGAAATCCGTAAAGATAGGATCCAAAGGTCCATAGACTGGTTTTTTGAACTGATATAATAATTAACAATAAAGATAATAAAGTATATAATAATATAATAAATTAATAAAGTATTACCAATAATAATTTACAATATTATAAAACACAAAAAAATATAAGATCAATACTTAATAGTACTTAACAAAAAGGAATATATATCTGCTATATCTCTCTACATGACTATTTTCTTACATTTATAGGTATGCTTGTCAACTTTGCGCTGTAGTTGCAAGCCACAGTAAGTTCCTTTGCAAAGTCTTGAAAGGCATAAATCAGATCTCTTTGTAGCAATTGTCCTATCTGTTGATCTATAAAGATATATCTTATTAAAACATATATATATATATATATATATATATATATATTTGTGTTAATACTTGATTATAAGAAAATTTATTTTATAATAACATACATTATACACACTCACAAAATCAAGATCTTTAAAATTTGATATTTCATATATGAAAATATCTAACATTTATCTCGATTATATTCTATATGTATAATGTTTAAAGGCTTACTGGACATGTCTAGGACGACTTTCATTTCTGCAAATTCGACATCCCAATTTTCAGCATTTCTACCGTAATCTATCCTCGCCATGAGAGCATCGGAATAATTTGATGGGAACATTATGGAACCCCATGCCCAACCTTTTTTCACTGCATTTCTGGCTTCTTCATCGTTATCGTAAGGTAACAAGTTTATAGTCTTCTTCTGCAAATGCTGAAGATAACGACAACTCACTAGTGACCAATCACATCCGATTGTGGGAATACAAGGTTGCGTGCTGTTGTTGAGTTCATTGTTAACGATGGCTATTTTTAGACCTACGGGATCCTTACCGATGGTAAGACAGAAGATGATTATCTGAGCAACTGGTAGAGCAATGATGAACAACATTATTCTGCGAAAAGAAAGCATAAGTGAGAATGGGATTAATAACAGAGAGTAACATTATAATGAATTGAAGTTATAATAAAAGCGAAAATAAAAATGGATTTAGTTCAAAAATGTAGTATTGGGTTACCCGACATTTCGCCACATCCACAAAAAATTCTTCCAGATAAGGGCTTTCATATGCATCGGATTAAGCATGGTAAACTTAGAGGAACCTTTTTCTTCCGGTGGCAATCCTCCCAACTATTAAAGGAGAAAGACGGAAATAAATAAATTAAATATTGTCTTGCAAAAAGAAAGCAGAATTTTTTCTATCATTTAAAAAAATACTTTTTTCAATAAAATAATACACAAATTTTTCTACTATAATTATTAAAAATCATTATTTTATAAGTAATTTTAAATAATCTAAAAGAGAAAGAGTGTGTATATTCTCTTTCTTTATCTTAAAATTATTACATTGTCATCTGCAATGACTACACTTTTTCTTCGACTACACACGCTCACGTTGTCGCCGAATTCGCCACTCATTTCGTCATCTACATTCTACAAAGAGAAGATAAAGTGAGAGAGTAATATCTATTTTATTAATATAAAATACACATAATATAAATTAATATAAAATACACATATAATAAATATATTACAAAAAATATACAAATACTAAATAACAACTAATTATAACTAATAAAGCTAAAATTAATTACAACTAGTGTCAATATTTCTTTACATTTATACTTACATTTTCCGGCGGAACACCTGTTAAATTGCTCAAAATACTGCTTCTTCTCCTTAATCCTAAATTTTGTTTTTTACTCAATTTCAGGAAAATATCTTCCAAAGTATCCAATCGGTGCATTTCCATTAGCTTCGTTGGCGATTCCTCTGCCAAAAATTTACCGCTTCTCATTAAGCCGATTATGCCAGCTTGTCTACAAGATTTAACAAAATCCATCATTTCAATAATTTCAATAATTTTTTAATAGAAGAAAACTTTTGTAATTCTCTGTTGATAAGACAAAATATATAATAAGTAACTCTTTAACATATTCTGATACTTAATAAATAAATTTTAATTATATTAAATTTTGATTTTAATTAATTTTTTTTATTTAAATCTGAAAAGAGAAAATATTAAATAAATATAACATTTTTCTTGTCTTAACTCAAGTATATTTGCTGTAATATTTGCTGCAAAATTAATAGCGATACAAAAAATTTAATATTATATATTTAAATATTAAAAATTTTAAAAAATATTAGTGTTATAAGATATAGTATAAGTGATTATTTCACAACTTGCCTGGTCTCTTCGATGTAATGCGTGGTGATAATAATAGTCTTGTTACCATCTTTAGTGATATGCACTAAGTGGTCCCAGATACTTTGCCGGAGAACAGGATCCACTCCAACTGTCGGTTCATCCAAGATCAAGAGTTCAGGATCGGCTAAAAGGGCAGCCGCGAAGGATACTCTTCTTTGCTGACCACCAGACAGATTTTTCACAAAACGGTTGCTCGACGGTAATTGCAAAAGCTATAATGAAAATATGAATATTATTGAAAATTACAATATTCTACAATAAAAGTATTTATAGTAAAATTTATAGAAAAAAGGCTATAAAAAAGTTTATCCATAGAAAAAATTAAAAGGTTTATTATAAAACAAAAATTTTGTAAGTTTCTTCGTATGTAAGAAAGAAAGTACTACATTTTTTGGAGAATTTTATTAGTATAAAAATTGTTGGAAAATAATCCAAATACTTTTAAAATTCTGTTTTTTTAAATTAAATTTTCATTAAAATTTCGGCCTTTCGTGACCTAGATTTCTTCACCTTAATTAAAAATTCTAGCTTATCGTCCACTTGATCAGTCGTCATACCAGCACACCAACCAAAATAGATAAATGTTTCTCGAATGGAGAATTCGCCATAAAGCGCAGTCTCCTGTGGCATATAGCCGACTCGAGGACCGGGCACACCGGACCCCTTAGATCCTGGTCGGCCTCCCAGGACCCAGATTTCGCCAGAATTCAAGCGTCTGCGGCCGACGATACATGATAATAAAGTGGTCTTTCCGCAACCACTCGCACCAAGTAATCCATAACTGAATAATATATTTATTACAATTAACAAAAAAATATAATGAATTATACGTAACGAAAAAATTAGAATTATACGTAATAAAAAAATTTAATAATAAATTTAATAATAAATTTAATAATAAATTTAATATAAAAAATATTATAATAAAACAATAATTATTGCATGAAATTTTACTCTATGTAAGTGTCGCTATAGCGTAAAATTTATACATAATATTATATATAATATTACATAATATTATATTTAAAAATAATATATATTTTTATATGATTATTTTTATATGATATTTTATATATACATGGTGTTTCATAAGTAGTGGGCAAAATTTCAGGAATGGATTCCTCATGCTTAGAGAAGAAAAACAAATTAATCAAAATAGGTCCGGAAATGATTAGTTTTTGAGTTATTAAGATTTTTATAACACAAAATTTTGTCTTATTTCTCGTCTTAGAAGTCCTTTTACAGGTATCAACAATGTTTTTCAAGTTCGGTAGCCTGAATTTGATTAATTTTTTTTTCTTCTCTAAGCATGAGGAATCCATTCCTAAAATTTTGCCCACCACTTATGAAACACCATGTATATACATGTATATTTTCTTAATATACGAGTATATGTATATTGATAACTATTTATTTCGTTACATTGTTATCATATTCATAATATAATATATTAGCAAATTAAAAATTTTATGTAAATCTTATAGAAAAAAATCAACTAACAAATTTGAATAATAATAATCGAATATTACAACGTTGCAATCAACTTGTTATTATATCAATGTTTTATAGTTGTTTTTTTTCTATGATAAAAGAAATTTCAAATTTATCCATGTATTATAAATATTCGCAATGATGTTACGAAAGAAATAGTTTCTGACGCATTAATAGAAACCTCTTTTAAAGAATTACTTATTTTTTAGCAAAGAAAGAAAGAGAGACTAATATATTCTTTTTGTTGCGAAACTGTATTTGAAAAATATTTATTGAATGTCTATATATGACAGCATAAGATTCATTGTACATGTATTCAGCTCTTACATTTATCTTTTTGTTCTTTTTTTCTTTTATAAAAAATTATGGAGAAAAATTATATTATTATATATAAAAAATATTATGTTATGTGTTATGATTGAGAAGGAAAGAAATTTTTCAATACCGAATGGCTTTTTCATAATTTAGTAAATATATTATTTAGTAAATATATTCATGAATCTTTCAACTTTATTTCTACAAAATTAACATTTTTTTATTCCATTCTTTTATTATGTAAATTTGAAAGACATTTATAAATGTCCAAAATTTTTATGCTTTTGAAAAATTTAATAGAAGACGAGCAAATGCTCTCTTTCTCTCTCTCTCTCTCTCTCTCTCTCTCTCTCTTTCTATATATATATATATATATATATATATATATATATATATATACAGAAAGAGAAAGAGAGAGAGATTCTATATATATATATATATATATATATATATATATATATATATATATATGAATATTCTTTATTTCTTTTTTAATCTCTAATAATTTTATATCAATATTTGGAAAATATAAGTACAATTTCACAGATCAGTATAAATGATTAATTTTCATTCACATTTATGATAATTATATGCTTAATATAAATTACTTTTTAATAAAAACAAAAACAGTAGTTAGAGTTTTTATATCAATTAAAATTCTTTACTGTTTAATGCATTGAAATTTTTTAATTTAATTAATTTAATTTTTTAATTTAATTTAATTTAATTTAATTTTATACTATTTACTAATTTTTCATTATAATTTAAATCATTTTTATAAAATGTATTTATTAATATTTAATTATACAGTAAAATCAAAATAAAAATTTCGTCAACTTTTTACATTAATGTTGCAGGAGAATACTTACATAGTGCCTTTCGGCACAGTCATGTTAAGCCCGTCCAAAATTATATTAGGATTGTTCTTGGATCCATATTTCTTAAAGGCTCTTCTAACACAAACTGCTTGTTTTCTTCTAGTATCTAAAGTCGATATTTGCGATTGAAATTGCGTTTGTCTTCGTATTTTCAGTTCCATCAGCGTGCTTGGTATAGTTGCACTTTCCATCTCTATATTTAAAGGAAAGATACGGAATCACGTATTTTTATTTCAATTACTCATCCAGGTTAATCAAAAACATTTTGTTTGTTTTTTTAAATCTTGAATTAACTTTTACTGTCTTCTTCTAATATCACGTTAGTATAATAGTCTTTTACATTTTTTGAATTATTAAAAATGATAAATTAAATAAAAATTAAACAGTGCAATCGATTTGAAGCTTGTCCGCGAGAGTTTGAAATCTCCCTTCCTCTCTCTCTCTCTCTCTCTCTCTCTCTCTCTCTCTCTCTCTCTCTCTCTCTCTCTCTCTCTCTCTGTTTTTCTGACTGGACCAATCATATAAGTGAGAGTTGTCTATTACGATTATATTACTAGTAAATTATGAATTACCACTGATCGAAATGATACAGCATTATCGAATAATTGAAAAAATAATTCAGTTATTAATAAATTAAATATATACGATTAATGTCATCATATACGATTAATCATTCATTACTCATTATTTCATTAACTCATTATTAGAATATCGATTATGTTCAAATTGAAAATTCAAGTTGAATTCAAGTTGAAATTAGTTTCAAATATTTGTCTTTACAATCAATAAATTATCATCTAAAATATAATCATCTCAATATTTGACATATTACAATATTTAATCAAATAGTTTTAAGTAATACCAATGACCTATTTCACTTAAAAGACAAAATATTTAAAAATCTGTTTAATTTTCTCATTTTATTAAAAGACACATATTTAAGAGATAACATCGGAATTTTTTTGCATTATAAAAAAGCTGATTATTTTGTTTTTTTTGTTTTCAAGAAACTGCGATTTGATGAGTCGGTCAAATTCCTAATTTGTTAAGTAATCAATGTATTGCATCGCCAATTAATTGAAGCATATTGCACAGGATTTCGCTTCTCTTGTGATCTTTATTATGTTCGCAATGTACTGTATGTGACGTATAATGTTTACTAAAATATCTATAAAAAATATTAAAAGATTTTTGAATTTACTTTAATATAAAAGAGAGATGAAGAGAGAGATATTACTTTTGATATTTTATTATTAATATTACAGTAACGATAATGTAAATACGTGTAGTTTAAAATATTCTGTTTTACTTATTGAAAAAGTTAATATTTTTAATATTCAGCAATAAAATAATATTAACAATTTCTTGAAAATAGAAATAATCGAAATTACAATTCATAAAATATAACAATTCATAAAATCACGGACTCAATAGGTTCTGCGAGACTTCATAGTATTCGCTCAAGATGCGTCGCTAAAAAATTAGCATATTACAACAATAAGCATAAAAATATACCAAGTAATATGAAAACTTTATCTTACGAAATCAACATTAATGTGTTATTACATCAAATGGTAACCGAAAAAATGCAAGCGATGAGTAAGCTACGTGCTACGCAACGCACAGCTGCTTTCACGTAATTTGTTCACTTCTTTACGCGCGAGAGAGATATATGTATTACGAAAGAACAGACCAACGAAGAGAGACCGCCTAAGGTTATGTCTGATCGCTTTCCTTTCTTTCAACTCTCCGTTTCTTCCCGATGAACTTGCTTACGTTGCATTCACTTATCAAACACGTCAATATTACGAGAGATACCTTGTCCCAAATTCATTTGAATTTGATAATTATATGAAGATAAATGACGATTATCAATATGTAATAATTAGAGTTCATTCATTTCCGGGAATTATTCTTAGAATTAAGTTTTACAAAATTTTTTAAATGTTTTACATTATTAAAAATTCAATTATAAATTTTTTAATTTTTCATTTGTTAAATAAAATTATACGCGCGTTAAAATCTCTCTTTTCAACTATAATTATAATAAATAATAATTAAATAATAATAATTATTTTTTAATTATATTATTTTCACATTTAATACTAAAAACTGTAACAATTTTAAGCAAATTATTAATGAATAATTAACTCGAATTTGAGCCTTTTTATCAATGTTTTATCAATAACTTTACAATTACTGTACAATAAAAAATGCTATATATAAAAAACACGAATAAAATAAATTCGCATATATTTGTTGACATGTCAAGCGCAATTATGTAGTTTTTTATTGCATCGACAATTTTCCTTTGGCTGCTATATATCATTATAGAACGAAAACATGAATACTAGTTAACGATACTAGCGCAATCATCAATAATCGTTTTTGCAAGGATAATGTCAATGTCGATAGAAAAAATCGCAATAATCTTTAGTTTCTGAGTATACTATTATACGATAAATATTTTATATTTTTAAAGTGATTTTTCCCTTACATAAAAATACTTTGTTATAGTATTTTGAAAAGCTTTCGAAGTAAGCTATAAGAACTTTTTTTAGAAAGAGATTGCCCTGACACTCTGTACATACATATATATATATATATATATACAAGTTATATATATATATATGTGTGTGTGTGTGTGTGTGTGTGTGTGTGTGTGTGTGTGTGTGTGTGTGTGTGTGTATATATATATATATATATATATATAACCTGTAATTTATTATTTCTCTCGGAAAAATGAATCATTATAATATATGAGCAAAATTCTATTTGTAATAACTCATTGTCAATAAGATGTATAATCAACGATTGTACTAACCACGATTTTATGACAAGAATTATGGTGCCTTCTATTTCTTCGAACAAAGTTTCTTTGAAAAATGAGATCGATGGTCAACTAGCGAGCACCTTTGAATAATTTTTGCTTAGATGATTGTCTTATTTATTCGTATTCCGTTCGTCCAACTGTTCTCGAGTACATTTTCTCGAGAAATCGATAAAGATTCTTCACAGAGATGTATTTTTGATCAGTTTATTTTTTTTTAACTGTTTGTGTGCCTTTTCAGAATATATCTTCTTAATCTTTTCAGATTATTCAAATATTTAAAAAATGTATTTTTATATAAAAGTAATATTTTTATTCTTTCTGTTTTCAATCATATATCTTAAGCAATTATTTTTAAAGTTATTGTACTTTTTGGTTCATTATTTATTTTTTAATAATTCTTTTATTTGCTGTATTATTCAAAACCAGTTGTCCAGCCATAATTATGGATGATTGCTGATTATGAGGATCCTTATATGTTTGATTTTTAGTAATGATTGCATCGGAATTTTCAGCTTTTGCCTTTTTTTAAAATATTATGCATATTTTGTTCTTGTAACGGATTTATTATAATTAGTATTTTAATTTATAGATAAGATAAATGTTTTAAATATTAAGATTAAAAAAATAGAATAGATGATTTTTTAATTTTAGAAGATCTAAAATAAAATGTTTTAAGAATTTAGATTGACCTATTGCTATTTCCTATCTATTAGTTGACACTAATTGTAAGATTGAGATTGATTGCTCTTTGAGATTGATTGATTTCCTCATAAGAAGGGAGGTATCTAAAGTTTAATTAAGAAGGATTTATTTCTAAAGTATACGCGAAAATCTATTAAATTCTCATAAATGTCTATATTAAGTAGGATGAAAACAAAAATAATCCAGAATCAAAGTATGAGATTTTGAATCTATTTTTCAAGATTATGCGAGAAAACTTTTACTAAAGATAGAATTGCACAAACTCAAAAAGCCCTTCAGTAACACTTTGAATTTTAGAGAAATAATTAATAATAATTTTATATAATCTTAGAGCATCCTTGATGTTAAAAAATAAGTGCGTACGTTACAAACATTATTATTCAAAGGTCAAATTCCAAGATTCTTAGTTCATAAAATTTTCTAAAAGAGCAAAAGATTCCAATTTACGTTATTTGATATGCAGAATCAATTAAACTTTATCAAAATTTTACCTGCAAAGATTAAAAATATTACACATACTTCGAGTTTTAATTATTTAATATAAAATCAAAATTGTATCAAGTCTCAAAAAGGTCTTTATCAACTAACTTGCACAAATATTAAAGATTCAATTTCAAAGCTATTTACTTTGAAAAATTCTCCGAAAAATGCTCTTCTAATATCAAACCTTGATTTTAAATAGTATATTAAATGTTAATAAAGAAAAAAAGCAATTGTGTTATATAAAATCTTATTAAGTTTTAAGATACTAAATTAATAAATATTTGTTTTTGTCAAAATCACAATTTGTTATTAATTATCTTGAGCGATATAATACACTTCAAATAAAAATATAAACGATCGAAATATCAAATAATATTATATATCAGAAATTTAATTTTCAAATTTAAAATTTTAAAAGACATTTACAGAATCATACTTCTGGGAATTAAATCTTCACTCACAAAATCGTATAAAGGACTCTTAATCCTAAGAAATACTTCAAAATGAAGACACTATGTATGTGATCACGATCGCGAAATTCGTCGTGGTTCGCGTATTTATCTCGTTCAGAGATTGACTGACGGAAGATCGAACTTGAGAACAGGATCAGAAAACTCAGAGGCCATACGAGAGTAGAAGTGGTCGCCTGACCACGACGAGGCTCAGCGAGAACTGGCTTTGCTTGGCCCAGTCAGACTTCGCGAACACTCAAATGCTGTTTGTGCAATCATTCTTTTTGAACAAAACAGTTACTCTTAAAGGGGACAAGCTTTAACGCTTCTGCAATGCTGTGTAAACAGATCTCGGATTAATCTGAGAAAATACAAGCAATACGTGTCCAAGCCAACATAACTTTAAATTATCGACTGATAAGAAATTCATATAAAAAGAGATATTCCAGAATGATTTTTATATCAGAAAAAGTTAAGAATTAAACAAAAAATTATAGAATGTAAGAAAAAAAATTTTTCTTGGGATAATTAAAAAAATGCTATAATTAATATATAGAAAATATGAGATATATTATATCAAATTATTTTATATTATTCAAAGTAATTCTTCTACATTGTTCAAGGTAACATGATTCGAAACCGGTTTGTCTAGATAGAGGAAATACCAAGTTATTCATTTTTATTAAAAATTAATCTCATTTTTTAAGTTAAAAAAAAAAGATGATGCATGAGATGACGCATTTAAAAAAATGATTAAGCCCATTTTATATACATATATGTGCGTGCGTGCTTGAGTGCATGCGTGTATGTGTGTGTGTTTATAATTTTTACAATAAAATTAAATAAAATACTATTAATATATAGTTCACAATGATTTATATTACATAAATTCAATTTAAAGAGATTTCTATTTTATAAAAACATTGTATAAAATGGAATTATTGTAATACATTTTACATATACAACAATAGTATAATAGAATAAATAATAATATTGGTAGATTAAAAAATATTAAAAAAATACTTTAGACTAGATATATTACATATCTTAAGAAAAAAACAATTTTCTCTATATCTTGATTCAGACTATGAAACTGAGAAAGACGAGAAATCTGATTACATCATGTGTTAAAAATGTCTTTTCCTTAAGTTTTCCATATGCATTTTATTTGTTTTAAAAAGAATTTTAAAAGAACTATATATATTTGTGACAAATATCTTATAATTGCATATAACAATTTTCTATCTCTAATATCTAGAATACGAAGTAGAATACGAACAGTATTATATAATTTAGTATTACATGATTCATTATATAAATAGAATATAACATACTATTTATATTAACATAAATTGCGAGACAGCTTGTTTGAAAATTGTAAATGTTTAATAAATAGAATGTCTACAATTTGCGACTAAAAAATTCAATATATATAAACAAATTTTTAAAGAAATACATAATTCTCATTTTTTTTATATAATATTTTTTATAATATAATCAAATAAATTAGAAATGAAAATAAATTTGAAAATAATTTTTTTTATTTCAGAGAGAGTGTTGATTTAATAGAATGAAACATATTTCTTGTAATGCCTAACTCATACCTTTTTCAGAGAGAAGTAAAGAATTATTAATTTTGACTTACATTAATTTGTTGTAATTAATATATTTATTACATGTTCCTTATTATATATTATATATTAATATATTGATTATATTAATTGTAAATGTTTTCAAATATTTCAAAAAATAAGTAAGTAAGAAAACATTAATTATATTCAGTTAATTATATTAATCTATTGTACATTTATTAATAATATTAAATTAATATTTATATTAATTTTATTATGAATAATTATATGAACAATTGTAAATAAAAAATGCAATGATTAATAAAATGAACAAAAATGCTTAATGCCTTTTCTTGCAATATTATCAAATGCCAGTGAAATTTGATTAGAAACCGGAATTGCGCTCTGGCAATTTTTATTGCAATGTTCACGCATGGTATATTCAACGATGATAAGCAGTACATATATTGAAGCGCATTTACGAAACTACATTCATTTTCAATATAAAAGGATTATAAAATAAAATAAAATATAGTATAAAACATTATAAAAATCCACAAAAAATATATATATAAAAATAGAAAGAGAAATACAAATTACATCTACAAAAAACTCACAATCAGTATTTTAATAATTTTTCTCTGTTTACCATGAGAATAGTTATACTGTGGATACGTCAAGGTGATCTTCTTTTTAGAGGTGAGCTCTTTTATTTGTTAGCCATTTTTTTCTTAGCAAATAATAGTATTGAAATGTTTTGTTGAATATATTTTTTCACTTATTTAATTTTGATCCAAGATTTGAAAGACAATTGCTGAAAGCACATATAAAAACTACATATGCAAAATTGATGATTCGGATAAATTAATTTACGAGAACTATTTAAAGTTTAAGCAAAAATCTATAAAATTAATGAATTTTTTTTGATAACATAATTATGAAATTATGAAATTATTTAATATTAAACAATACTTACTTACGATACTTCTAAGTTATATAACCGTGTTTACATATACATATAATAGACATATATATACAATATGTTTTGTTAGTTGCTTTTAAATATTATTTCCTTCCATAAATTTTAGCTTTGTTTCTATCTAGAAAATATGTGTTGTGTGTAATATTCATTAACCAATATATTAAATAATATATAATAGAAATATATCATTAAAATAAAATCTTTATAAAACAATTAAATAATTATATTACACACACACACATACACACACACACACACACACACACACACACACACACACACACACACACACACACATATATATATATGTGTATATGTATATATTTGTAAACAACAATTATTATGAAAACATTTTCTATACTTATCATTAGTTGCTATAAATTTTATTAAATTTTTGATATTATATGGAGTATTTTTGCGATACTATTTTATTAAAACAGATTTATTAAAATTGAAAAATAATAATTATTTATTAAGATAAATAATTTTAATTTATTTTCTTATATATTATTACATTCTTATATATTATTATATATGCAAATTTTACTTTTTATAATTTACTATTAATTATTCATTGCGGTATCTGTTTCTATCTCCGCAGCACTTGAAGGTTAAAACGAACTATGTGCGAAATGCTCGATAAAATAACAACTATAATATGTAGTGAAACGAACAGCACATCGATATTCAAGTATAGGCACAACATAGCTTACGTAGCTTACATAGCTTCATTCAATATTTGATAATATGTCTATATATATGATGATAGACGCGTATAGGCGAGATATACATAAAATATACAGTGTAAATACACAATGTATTGATTTATCGCATTTTTGATATTTCTATAAATATGCAAGGCAAGATTTTTAATATGAATAAGTATTATATTTAAAACTATAATAAAGAGAAAGAAAGAGAGAGAGAGAGAGAGAGAGAGAGAGAGAGAAATATAGCGTGAAAAAATAATTTTTACATAATTTTTGAAAAATCTTATAAAATTGTATCTTGCAAAATACACAAGATTCCTGTTTATAATTAATTTTTGTTAAAAATA